GCAACTTTATTATCATCATTTACAGCCATATGATACCAATAGTTAACTTTCTCCAAATCACTAATTAATCTATCATAAGATAATTTGTTTACATCAAAATCTTTTGTTCCGGCTGCCTCGTTATATAACTCAAATCCTTTCTCTTTATTAATTTCTGTTCCAATTCCATTTATGTAGCAATATCCAAGCTGAAATTTTGCACTTAAATATCCTTGATTAGCAGCCTTTTGATAATAATCAAATGCTTTCAGCACATCTTTTTCAACACCATTACCTAATTCATAACATTCACCCAAATTATACTGTCCAACCTCATAACCTTTATCAGCTGCTTTTTGATGCCAGTAAAAGGCCATTTCTAAATCCTTTTCTATACCCTCACCTCTTTCATATAAACAGCCAAGGTTAACTTGTGCAACTTCATGTCCATTGTCAGCAGCTTTCTGATACCAATAAAAGGCTTTTTCTGGATCCTTTTCTATTTCCTCACCTTTTTCATATAACCAGCCAAGATTATTTTGTGAATATTCATAACCATTTTCAGCCGCTTTTTTATACCAGTAAAGGGCCTTTTCTATATTTTTTTTCGTCCCTTCACCTTTTTCATATAAACAACCGAGGTTATTCTGTGCAAATTCGTAACCATTTTCGGCAGCTTTCTGATACCAATAAAATGCTTTTTCTAAATTCTTTTCAGTCCCTTCACCTCTTTCATATGCATAACCAAGATTATTTTGTGCAAAAGTAACCCCATTTTCAGCCGCTTGTTGATACCAATAGAAGGCCTTTTCTAAGTTCTTTTCAGTCCCTTTACCTTTTAAATATAGATGAGCAAGATCATATTGTGCAAATTTATTTTCATTTTCGGCAGCTTTTTGAAACCGAATAAATGTATATTCATAATTATCTTGTTCTAATGAATTATCAATTTCTTCAGATTCCATTTAATTTATTCCGAATTTTGTGAACTTTGAACTTTTGCCTTCAGATCTAAGTATTTTTAAAACATATGTAAGGCATTTAAAAGTCGGTTCGGTAGAATATCAATTTCTTTTCAAAAGAAAATTTATTCGGAGGTTGGAATCAATTGTCCGATTTTTATATTTTTGATACACAACCTGATCGACATGAAAATCGTTACTTCAATTAGGTAGCAAGTTCTTCAAAAAAATTTGACAAATCAAATTTAAGCATTTACTATCAGTAAAAAAACGACATTAAAAAAAATAAATTGAGTTTGAATTCATGAATTTTCTTTAAAATGTACCGTATTAAAGATAAGATTCAATTTTTTTTTTTTAAAGAAGTCTTACATGAAAAATCTGGTGAAAATAAAAGTGGTTTGACTTACTGCGCAGATTGTGACAAAATTTAACTAACATGTAACGAATCTATTGGGTTTAATTATTAAAAATTAACGATTTGTCTTCCTACCGAATTGTTCAAGAAATAAATAAATAAAAGAAAAAAGAAATAAAATTAAAAATTAAAAAAATGTAATTTACTTTTGGATGTCATTAACTTGCAGTTTTAAAAGAATTACTTTTGTAATTGAGTTTGCGTGGCAAAACCCTTAAGTACCGTCAAAACTAGAAACTATGATAAATCTATAAAACTTGTCAAAATCGAAACATAGGGTTTTCGACTTTGACATTTACCAAAATGAGTTTTGCCACGCGCAACTATATATTTGAACATAAAATAAACTACATTTTTAAAATAAAATAAAATTAATTAATGAATAACCATATCGTTCATATTGATTTAGGATTTAAATTAATATAATAAATAGTTCAAGTTTTTTTTTGAAATTTTATTTAAACAAAATATCATCCATTTAAAGAAAGGTTCGATGGAAAAACCATTAATCCTAATCGTTTTTTTATCTGTATAGATCCGAGATATTCGCCCCACCCCTCGAACTTTCGGACTTTGCCGGAATTATCCGAGACCTTATTTGGATCCTCCACCTTTTGTAACGAAAAACAAATGTTACAATCTATAACTTTTCATATTGATGAAATCAGGATTTTTTAAATCTGGAGATCAATTGATATGTTAGAGCAGAATGGCTATCATACGTTAACCTTAGATATCTCTTGTGCATAAGTATATTAAATCAAATTTCTCCTCCACCAATAGAGCTGTAATTGGCCACAATGCGGTATGGCGATTGTACGTCACGATAAAACAATAATACATTAGCGATGTTTTAAAATTGAATCTAAAGTAATTACATTACTGAAAAATAAATCATCTTATGTTCATAATAATACAAAACTGGTTTAAATAAAATTTATAATCTTTGTTTTGATTCGATGATCTTAATCTCTTACAAATAAAACAAATCTCATTAGAATATATAATCCAAAGACCGTAATCAAATTAAGTTTACTTGACTTAGTGAAAAGGTGGATTTAGTTCCTTTGACGATAAAATTATATTCCCTTAACGATTTTTGAATTTATTTACAATTATCTATTCTATTTTTTTTTTTAATACAACCTATCTAATATGATATCTATTGCCACTAACGGGTATAGGCAAACTTGATCTATGAACCCTATTCCTTCTAATTCTTTGCCATTTATAAATTAATTTAATACCAAATCCTAACGCCACCAAAAATAAAGCTCCTCCAATCGATGCTCCTATTATAATTCCTATATTTACAATTTTTTTTTTTAAAAAAAAAAAAAATGTTAATAAGTAAATGCATTTAAAGAAGAAAGATGAAAAAAAAAAAATAATAAACTAAAAAGAAAAATAGTAACTAATGTACCTATGGGAATTGAATAATTTCCTATGGTAGATGGTTCAAATCGATTTACCCAAGTAAAGGTTCTAATATCTAATAAAAATATTTCGTTATTTATAGCCCTTTCCTTTGTAATCGTATTGGTTATATTACCTATAAATACGCATTATTAGTTTCAATTTTCTTGAAAAACAAATTTCTTTCTTTTTTTATTTTTAGAAAAAGGAGAATCAAAATATACCAAATGCAACGAGCATATAGTCTCCAACCAATGCGGCGGTATGAGTGATAAGAGGAGGAGGAAATATTGTGGCGGAAATTTTCGGTATGCTCCATAAATAAGGTTGTGGTCTTGTATCTAATACTACAAGTACTGGACTAGAAGAAGTGCCATTTTCACTGTTTACTCCTCCATAGACGATTATTCTATTATCCTGCACTGCAATGCATAACTAGTTAACTTCTGAAACGAAATGCACCCTGATGAAATAAGTAATATTTCGCTCACTTAATACTGCAGAGTGAAGAATTCTCCCTTCTACTAATGGACCTGCGGCTTGCTTAAAAATAAAGGTTAATACTTTGGTTTTCAAATTCAATGAAAAGAATATTTCTGCTCGAAACACTTACTATGAAATACCATTCTGCACTCTTCGTATCATACACATCGATCTAAATGCAAAAAAAAAAAAAAAATGAAATGAAAATGAAAATATAAAAATTTAACAATAACTTTCCAACGTCACACAAAATTTACTCACGTACCGATCTCATATTTACAAGACTCAAATTGTTATCAGATCCAGCCATTTCTCTTCCACCGATGAATACGATTAAACCATTGTTTAAGATCGTAGCAGTGTGACCATCCCTTGGGGTAGGAGCACCGTCCAACGTTCCCAACTCCCAATTTAACGTTAAACTATCTAACACATTCATTTCATTGAAATCGCCATCAATGGAAGATCCCGTGAACCTATCAGCTTTACCACCAAAAAAATGGATTTTTCCTCGATCATTAGTAACAGCAGATAATTCCCTTCTTCTATTAGGTGCATCACCAGAAATAATTGGTATAGACCACTGAAATGATTGAGTATCAAAAGAATAAACCAAATTTTTAAAGTCGGGAAGTAAGGCATTAGAACCTAAATCTTGCGCCGGTTCAACAGCTTGCATTGTACCTCCAAAAATAAAGATCATACGATTATTTGCACCTCCATATGATGACGTTGCCCACGATAACCTAACCGGTAGAGGCGAAACATCGCTTAAATTTATCCAAGGTGGTGACATTGTATTAAATGGTTGTGATAATTCCAAGTAAAAGACATCATTTGTTGGCATGATCATTGATGCATTTAATTCTAATCGAATCAATCCTCCAAAGAAAAATAGTTTTTTTCCCACTGACGTTGATGTATGCGCATATCTTGCTTTTGGCCTAAATGTTGTTTCTTGTGCGTCCGTAAATTTAATGACATTTAAATGTTTATGAAGTGATAATAATGTCGTTATTATATATATAGTTAATAAATAAAAGTATTTATGAGAAACCATTTGACATCGATTTTAATTTAATTAAATTAATTTAATTATTCTATTTTCTAATTTAGATGAGATCTGCCTCTATAGCTAGTATACTTTTGGTTTTCCATAAAAAGAAGAAAAATTATATACAGATACGCCTTCGGCCTGTTAAATAGTAATTAAAATTTATAATTTTTTTTTTTCTTTTTCAAAGAAGGTTATGCTTCTCCCGAAAAAAATGTATTACCTATTTACATTAAATATGTATGTTTGGTATTTATATACAACACACATTACCTGTAAGTAATATAATGATGCATGAATTATCAATTATTGGTAATCAAAACTTGAAGCCATTCCCCTACTATTCAGCCCATTTATATAATTCATTATTTATTTATTTAAGGTTAAAGGATTTCTTTAAATTAAAAGAACCGGTTTTTTTGTGTTTCCCTTATATATTTACTGAGATGTTCATGCTTTTAAAACTGTTTCATATTCGGGATGGCTTATGAAGGGTAGAACGTTGTTCAATTGTGACACGATGATGCAGTTTGGCGTTTCAAGGTGATCTTACTGCGGTACAAATTTCTTCACAATGGAAGACTTGAATTTTTTTTTTTATAGGGAACAATTTATTAATGATGCCATCTAATTTACCATTACTTAATAACAAAAAAACCCTCTTCCGAAAAATAAATTTTAAGTGTTCTAAAAGGAGTTAAGGTGCGATATCACGTGATAACCAATCCTTTTGTCAAAAGTAGATTATAAGAATTCGCTTGCTATTTTCCGTTACGGATGATTTTACCACGCCAATGAATGAATGCCTTTTCAAATTATAAGATTCACAAAAAAAGAAAAAAAAAGATTCTGTTTTACAAGCTAAATGGTTAAATTAAATTTGGATTTCACGATGGGGGAAATAAGCCAATTGAAAAAAACTGCGACACTCTCGAGATTTCCTATGATCATTTTAAAAAAGGTTGGGACGTTAATTTTATTTATGTCACCCCCACCCTTCTAAACCCTAAAAAGGATTTGATTTTCCTTTTTTAAAAAACTTAATTGTTTCGAGGCTATAATCGGCGTTTTACCTATATATTTAGATAATCAAATGACTATCTGTTATATAAATAGTATGAAATTGGTGTAGAGAAATTTATTTCCCCCCCCCCCCTTCTTTTACATATATATCTCCATCATTCAATCTTTTTTTTTCTTCTTTTCCATATAATATCATGTTCATGTATCATAATTGTATTAAACAATTTTTAATCGCATTACTCTCGTTAATACTAGTAGAATCAGCGACAAATGATGCAAGATTTGATCATTCATCGGCGATAATAAAAGACCGA